GTCGATTATAGTCTTTCTGCTCGGTAAAGCACGGACTGTTCAAACCTATACTGAACATACCTGACGTCTTCTGCTTGCAACGTTGAGACAAGGCAGTTGATCCGGCTTCGTCTAGTCGAACATGGCATCGTTTCTGCTTATATCGGTACAAAGTGTACATCGAGACTTGCAGAATGCGCGAGGCAGAGCGCTAGGGTGCTTAGCGCTGCGATCAAATTGTGGCTAGGGACGACAGCCAGTGAGTTGGCCTATGAATAACGAGGACGGCTCTAGACAAGCTATAAGCTTTTCCGAATGCTTGACTGCACTGGTAGCATACCTGTCAGACTTCCAGCTGCACTAGTGGCATCACTTCATGTTAGAGTCAAGCATATGGAGAAGCTCTTTGCTTGTATTGAGACGTCATCAAGGGTAAATTACTGGGACAATAGAATTAGTGCGCGGTTTATAGTAAGCACGCCGAGTTCTCAGCCGCTACATCATCTGATAGAACGTCGTTCGCGTGCAGGCTTTTCGTACTTACCTCGAGAAACAACATGCAGAAGCCGCCTTCCTGTCAGTAGGTGCACAAACCTACTATCAAAGTACCTGGCCGTCCACAGACTGGATTTTTCATTCGCCAGTGTCCGTTCAAGTATCATTCGACTTGCCACCGATCAAGGGAAGACACACATCGAGTGGTGAGGAGAGGAATGGCAATGCATTCGTGGAAGGAAATGCAAAACACAGAGCACATTAGATTATCCGTTTTGAAAATACATGATCTTTTCTGTTCAACCGAACTCTTGTGTAAGCTTACGTACTTCCCACTTTGTGAGCTTACGTACTTCCCACTCGCTCTTGTGTACGTGAGGTGGTGGCTCTTGTCACTCACACTTCACCAGTGTGGAAGCTCGACACACTTTTGATACACGCCTACATGATCCCATATTACACAGAGCAGTTTGTAAGTGCATGAACTATGTTGCGATGCATCCATAAAGTCGCAAACCAGTTATGCTAACTGAACAAGCCGACGAGTAAAAGGAGCGCTACACCCTTCGTCGATCATTCACCATTTTTACATCTGACATGGAGTGCGAAACCAAAGCGTGCTACTCATGCGCCAGAGGTCACCTCGCTGGTACATTGTAGAGCACATGACGCCGTAGCTACAAAAATTCGAGTCTACTCATATGAGTCGGAAACGCGAGTGGCCAGCGCCAGCACTTCAAAAGACAGTTGACGTCGTGCTGCAACATGTGCATCTTCACGTGAAGCTGAAGATCAATATCGATGAACGCTGATCGCAAGCACGAATGATAATATGAAATTGTAATGTGTGAGACTCAAGGCTATGTCGGGTCATCTGCGTAGTGGCGACTACAGCTACATGAATGATAACAAATATGCTTGACTGTGCATGGAGAAAGAATTCAGTAGCCCTAGCAAGGCAAAGTGACTTCCACATGGCAATGACTAGGCAAAAAAGTACCCAGGATGTCAAATGCCTGGGAAACACTACAAACACGAGTGATGAGTACTATGTTCTCAGCTAGTCGTTTACTGGTCAGGTCCAGTACGCTTTGGAAGACCCGTTCTGAACAAGTAGAGCTATGGGATAAACGATGATACATGGACAGATGGCCACATAAATCACAAGAGAAAGGAGGTTACGCCACGGAAGACTTGTTCACATGTTCGTGTCACTTTCAGTCGTTATAAACATTGGGGCAGCGAGCAACTTGCCGCGACTAGGATTACATGTGCTTGACCTGATGCATCAAAACATGCACGTGCAAACTCGATCGGGATCGTATCAGTTGCCGTAGAATGCACGATTGAAGGGTCTACAACGAACATGACGATAGGTGTTTACACGCGTACGTGCTTTCGAGTGCACTTATCGAGTGATTTTACAACGCACTGACATTCGAAGGGGTCGAGGTCGGACAGTCTCGAATGTTTTTCAAACTTGACGCTCGACCGGTTCGCAGCAGCCAGAGCTATACGCACCTCGTTCAATCACCCTCTAACCGTAAAGTACCCCTATTCTCACCGCTTCACTGCATTCGTCTGTCCGTTGACATTCCTGTTGCCGCACACTGCATAACGCAAAATGTACAGCGGAAAGCGATGGAGTCGCTTACTAAATTGTGCGGATGATAGTTTGGTAAGAGCGACCGACAGAACGTATCACCGTTTCGTGCGATAGCCCTGATAAGGACCATGCTTTCGTCGCTCCACTCAACGCACGCTGTATGCAACACGGAAGATGTGATGAATCTGTGCGCGCCAGCGCGCAACACTCAATACGCTGGGGGATGCAGTAAGACAAGACTTACTTATTGTGATTACAGCCTTCGTTTGTTGGTACTGGACTCAGATAGCAGTGAACATGCTGTGCGAAGCAGTGGATGACAACGTGGATAGCACCGATGGGCATATGCAGATAGCATCTCATTGCGAGAGCTGTCTCTAACCACGTGCACGACGATCAAGTACCGGAGACGAATCTAAAGCGATACTGCGACGGCAGAGTTTTAGATCGGCTGCTGCAGTTTGTATCCGACTGGTAATGCGCTAGCAGCGATGGTATCGAACCAACGTCTGTCTCGATGACATGCACGAGAAAGCGTCTACAGTCATTGCAGACGATCACATCGTCGGTCCACCATTTTACGACTTACAACTCGAGCACAAGCGGTGTTGTGGCGATCACTGGGGGTAACATACTCGAAAGGGTCAGATAGTCCAGCACAGCGTTGGCTTCGGGCGTCGTGCGGGCAACTTCGCGACAGTTGTGGATGGAGTTTCTACGCAGTGTACGTATGACGACCGCGTTCATAGACAGTGTCGTGTGCGTACGAAACATGGCTGTCGACGGACAGGAGCCGGGTCGATGTTCTACAGTGACAGTCGACTCGCACGAACAAGATGACCTCTTAGTAGTGTCCAGTGCAAGTGTCCTATCTGATGCACATCTATTCGAAGACTAGCAGCACTGTGTCTGCATTGACTTCGAGCTCAAACGACGTCACAGTACGGCAGTCTGCCGAACAACGTACGCAGAGTAGCCCTCGCTTTTCATACCATCTACAACACATAACGTCTAGCAGGCCCACATCCAGCTCTTGGACTCGTCGGTCACCCCAATCGGACACAGCAACGGCATTGTCGACCGCATTGCGTGACAGTCAATGCAGACAAAGTCTGCCCTTTTGCTGTGTCGACACTACCGGAACTGGATCGTCAATGTCTGTTGAAACAACAACAACTAGTCGGCGTGTCAATGGAACGACACGAAGCGGTACGCTCCACGACCTCGTCAATAGGCGTTCCTGTGTAGCTCAAGCACTGGCGCTCTCCGCCGTCGACACCACATATCGGTTGTCCCGCACCGCACTCGACATGGAGATCAAGTACTACTGCAATGTGGAAGCTGTACGCGCAATCAGCGGGTCATTGCCTTGTTTCCACTGATCGGACTCGAGTGCTTCGAGGGCATTGGAGTCGTGAGTGGTGGGTGGTGGGTGGAAGGCCATGTCGTACCTCGCGTTGCAGTGCTCGTGCACCTCACTAAACTCTTTCGATTCGCGCGTGTGTCAGCAGAAACTCAGAGGAGCAATTGCACGACAAGGCGGTCCCGCCCGCGCGGTTTTGTCGCACAGCAGATGACGCGGTCACATGTGGTGTGGGACCTGCGTGCCACTGGAAGCGGAGAACGTGCAATCGAGTCGGATGGTGCCCTGGGTGGGGTGTGTGTGTGTGTGTGGCCCCAGGCATTGCACCAGCGGTTTTATCATCCACCACACGTCGTCTGGCGCGGTAGACAACGCAGTGCTTTTCAGTACGCTCGACATGTACCGTGCAACTCGAGACGCGTACGCTGCGCTGGCTCTGTCCGTCAGGTTACGGCGGAGAAAGAGGAAGACGCACACACGTCGCGCTCTCTCGCATCACGAGCTGAGTGTGAAACACTCGAGCGCTCTTTGCCCACAACTGCCTCCAAGGCGAGCGCCTCTAAGGATATACTTCGGATGGCATCCCAACGACAAAGCCGTGTAGTTTACTTGCCTACCTGCCAACCGTCCTCCCTGTGTCACTCAGACCGATAGAGCCTGCACACAACGCTCTGCGTTTGACGTGGGTGAGTGTTCATCCGTCGACGTGAGTCCTATCGCCCGAGCAGACCATCCAACCACCCACCCAACCGATCGATCGGTCGGTCGGTCAGTCAGTCGGCCCATCAACGACTGAAGATGTACTTGAAGCCATACGTGAGCGCGTAAAGGGCCCCGCAGTCGAAAGTGCGTTACCTGTTGCTGACGTTCTTCTGGCCACAGCGCTCCCACGTCCTGGCGTCAAAGTTGCCACCGAGAGACCGTCGACCGCGCTCAGGGGGAGCTGCCCATCTCTCGCTCGCTCGCTCTGTCCCGCGGCTCTCGTTCCGTTTCAAATCTCCGCCAGGCGCTCTGCTCTCATAGAGGCGGAGCGCAGCAGTCACGTAAGGCCCACACAGCCCCTTCTCGTTTCTCTTTGTCTCTCTGCTTTAGGTGAGCGATCCGCTGGCTCCTCGAAATGGCGCAGACAGACAAACAGATAGTCAGTCCGTCCGTCCGACAGTCCGATAGTCAGACACGCGACTGAGCGACTGAGTGCGTCCTCGCGAACGTCCCAATTGCAACACTTTTGCACTCGTCGCACGACCGAACGTTGAGCGCGCGCGCAGTCGACCGACTGGCCGTCCGACCGATCGTACAACGACAGCACCGCTTTCTCTCGGTCGTCCATTTCCGCCCCCCCCCCCCCACACACACTCCCGTACCGACTTTTCGCTCCAGTCGCTCCACACCGCGCGCTGGCCGGCCGTTTTTCTTTTTTTGCCTGACCAAAACCTGTACGCAGCCGTCGTACAGCATCTCAGTGTTCAGTCCACGTGCGTCAGTCCGTCCGTCCGTCCGTCGTCGTCGCGTGCGAACAACGTCCGCTCGCCCCTCTCGGCGCAAAAGTGATCCTCCATGAGCGGCAGCAGCAGCAGCACTAGTGACGTCGCCAGCAGCACGAGCACGAGCGGCCTGCGGTCGCCCGAGTACGTCCTCCGGCGGCCGACCGTCGCGTCGCAGTGGCCCGACGACGTCGACCTCGACGCGCTGTACGTGTCGGAGCGCCTCGAGGTCGACGAGATCGTGCGCAGCGCGTCGGACCTGAGCGTGTGGACCGTCGAGACGCGGCGGGACAGCACGACCGTCTACCTCCACGCGAAGAACAGTGAGCGGCTGTCGTACTCGGTGCGCGCCGAGACGCGCGTGTCGGGCACTGTCGCCGACGTGCTCGAGTGCCTCCGCGCGGCCGACAATGCCAAGTTGCGCGAGTTTCAGAAGTTGTTGCACCCACGGAATTTTCTGGACGGTGAAGTTTTGTACGCACACGAAGCCGAGGCCGCGTGCGTGCAACCGGCGCCCGCGCTCGAGTCCATGACGCTCAAGTGGCTCGTGTACTCGTCGCCCAAGACGCTCGGGCGGTCGAAGGAGTTCTGCATCCGCGAGTACTGCGTGTTGCTGCCGCAGCACCCCGTGCACGGCCACGTGGGCGTGCTCAAGTTCGAGTCGTACGACGGCGCCGCCGCGCGGTACGGCATTCGCGGCAAGTCAGAGGCCTACAGCCTCACCGTGTTCGAGCCCAGTTCGTACGTCGTGCAGCAGACGGCAGAGGACCCGTCGATGGTGACCGTGACGCTGACGCTCGCGATGCGGAAAGCGCGCGGCGGCGAGAGCATCTCGGCCGGCGTGCGGCTCACGTCGCTGCGGTTGGCCGGCGGGCTCCACGGCCTGCAGACAGCTGTGCAGCAGGCGCTGTTTGCACCGGCGGCGCTGGCGCATCGCCAGGAGTGGGTCAACGACGCCAAGCGGACCAACTGCTCGCTCTGTGTGCAGTCGTTCGGTCTGCTGAAGCGGCGGCACCACTGCCGCATCTGCGGCGAAGTCGTGTGCTCGGCGTGCACAGTGTTCAAGCGCGTGAAAGGCGACCAGGAGGTGGCGGCCAAAGTGCGCGTGTGCAAAGCGTGTTTGGCCAAAGGCGGCAGCAGCAGCGCGGGGCTCGGCAGCACGATGATTGGCGGCAGTCTGCACGTGGGCAGTTCGACGACTGCCATGGGGAGCCACTTGTCGACGGCTTTGGGGCGGAGAGCGAGTAGCATGAGCACGGACTCGGACGTGACGGGCAGTGCGGGCACGACGCCGGTGCCGACTGGAGCGGGTGTTGCGGGCACGAGCATTGGGAGCACGAGCTCGTTGACGTCGAACGAGTCGCGGAGTCCGTCGGATGACAACCCGGCGTCGACGACGCCACCGCCGCTGGTGTTTTCCAAGGGCTCTGCGCTGTCGCTGAACGACTTTGACGCGCACGTGCACCTGACGGACGACGCGAGTACCAGCAGTCCCCCTCCGCTGCATAAACGGTCATCGACTACGTCAAGTCAAGGCTGGGGGACAGGCTATGAGGACCGACCGATGATGGGCACGATGCATCGCACGGCGTCGAATGCGAGTATCACTGGTAGCAGGAAGAAGGGCGCGGACCGGCGGGTTCATTATTTCAACGAGGACATGGAAGAGATATGTATGCTGGCTATGGAGACACTGACTTGCCCCATGGCTGGTATTCGCACGGAAGATTTTGAGCTCGTGAGGTACTACGACGGCAAGCCAGCTCCAGGTTTGCCGCGCAGTTTGCCGACGTTCCGACGACTTGCAACCCGTGGCAAGCCGTGCATTGTGCTCGACGTGAGCTCGGACAAGCGGATTTCAGGCGAGAAACGGTTTACAGCCAAGCTGCAGTTCTTCGTGGGGATTCCGTTGCTCGTGAATGGCGTCGTGGTGGGCGATCTGTGCGTAGCGGATCGCCATGCACGCGACAATATTGATCATAAGCAGGTGGAGGTGCTCAATGTTTTGGGCGAGACAGTCACGCAATATATGCAGTCGGACGAGTATCAAGAGGACTTGATGGAGTTCAAGGCGGCAGCAAGTGTGGTGCGTCGACAGCCTCCGACTGGTCCGTCGTCTCAGCCAGTAGAGGAAGAAGAAGTGAACGTGCCGCTAGGAGATACCAAGGAAGTTGCGTTTTGAGAGCTCGGCGGTGCGATATACTTGAAGATCGAGGGCTTGTCGGGCCGGTATGTATGTGTGAGCCTGTTTCGCAGGAGGTTGTGGGTATGCACCCTCCAGCCACTTGTCCATCGCGTGGCGAAAGAGTTGATGAGGGCGCTGAATGCTTTGGTCCGTTGAGCTGCCTGAGTGGACGAAGGGCCGGCTATCGGAGGAAGTCAGCGCTATAGTGATAAACTAGTTTCTGGATTTTGCCCACTTTGTACACGTTCCAGTCTGTGCTGCTCTGCTAGCAACTTACTCTGCACGCGTTGTTAGTGCATACCACCCACCTTGGACTAGTTAGGTGACTTGGGTACTCGCTATCGTCGTTGTTGTCTGGCGTACAGTCACGCACCTCCACGCAAATAGAGACACTGGGTTTTGCCAACTTTATGGTCCAACTTCTCTTGACCGTCGCTGACACTTGCCATTGTGCTGTTCATGGTAACATTTGCAACGACGACGTAGAACCTCTTTGCTTTCTTCGGTTCGCTATCGATGCTGACGGCATGAATCGTTGTTTGCTCTTGCAGTAGTCTGTTCCGATGGAGACTGCACTTGTTGGACATGTTCCAGATGCAGGTGTTTACCCTCTTGCATGACAATGCGAGATGGTCTCGAACAAATTGCAACGAAAGCTGTAGCACTCTCAGCAAGCACCTATGCAGTAGCTGCAGCACTATTGGAGAGGGCCATAAGCAAACTCGGGAGGCGACTGCTGTCATGTTGATGGTCGTTGCGTCATCGTGGACTTGCCTTGTGCACACGTACAGAGCTTGTTCACGAAAGTGCATGTTGAAGTTATATGATCATCCCGAAGGGATCAACTGCAATATACACGACATACCGTACGACTTCACGTAATATCATGAGACTCATGCATCCAGCACTTATCATTCACATGCAGTCTACATCATCTAACTTACGTAGCTCTGACCTCGATCTACCTTTTGGCCGCCTTCACCAGCTTATACGACTCGAGTCGAGAAGACGGGAGACCCGTAGATGCAAACGCATTCGTTTCACCGCTCGTCTTCTTTTTATTCCGGCGCTTCTTCTTCGTTTTAGATCCGTCGGCAGTCTTCGCCGCCACTGACTCAGAAGTGTCCGTCTTTGCTTTCTTGCTCTTCGGTGCTGACTCCTCGTCCACTGTTGCTACGTCATCTCCTGATATCGCCACTTGCTCCATGACTTTCTTCGATTTGTTGCGTTTTCGCTTCTTCAGCTGCTTGATCTCGCCACTCTGCTCCTTGCTCTTATCTGCTGTCTCTTCTTTCGGCTTGCGTCGACGGTTCTCTTCGCGAGCTTCCCGGACACTCTTCTTGAGGTGCTTGAGCAGCTTACGGTCGACAGAGTACTCATAGTCGGCGTACGGTGCCATGCGCTTGAGAGACACAAGTTGCTGAAGCTCTTTGTCGTCAGCAGCCATTATCTCGTCCGCAGTGAGACCAAAATCGTTGCTCCGGACCCGGCGATACTTGAAGCGGCACTTGAGGTCGCCAATCAGGTCTTCGTAGTCCAAACTGTACAGCTCGTTGAGATACTCCTGCTTCTTACGCCGCATCTCCTCCAACGTCATCTTCTTCGGTCGCGTCTCTTCTTCTTCTTCGTCCTGCTCTTCTTCGTCAGTTTCTACCGCTTCCCGTTCGTCGCCATCGTCCTCCCCATCGGCTTCTGTACATGTATTCGCAGCACCTCCAACACCCTGCTCTTCTTCCTCTTCGGGATCAACAGGCAGACCAGCAAGCAATTCCTTGTCCTCGTCTTCGTCCCACGTAGGCTTTTCCATATCAACGCTGTCCTCATCGTAGTACTGCTCGTCAAAGACCGCCTGCATGCGCTTGTCATGCTCGTCTGGGTCAAAATCGCCCTCCAAATCCTCTGCCTTTAGGCCTACCGAGCCCTCATCCTTACCCATGAGTCGGGCAACCTTTTTCAGCTTCTGCTCAATCTCAGCTTGCTTGAGATTCTTCAGTCGACGCAGCTCGAGCTCCTTCTTTTGCCGTTCTTGTGCTTTACGTGCCTTTCGCTCGGCACGTCTTCGCTTCCGCGAATCGTCCTCGCGACGTACCGTGTCATCAATACGACGCGCGTGCGTCTGGATCACGCTACTTCCTTGCTCCTCAAAACGAAAGTTGTACGTGTGCTCAAACTCTTCCGCTTTCTCCAGCGCCTCGGCGTCCTCTTCATCTTCTCTGACAATGTCGTCGTAATGGGGAACCACGGCCGTCTTGTCCTTCCAGCCCTCGCTGCTCAAGTAATGCTCCAAGAACTTCTCAGGATCCATCTCGTCTTTCTGCAACTTTGCTCGAAACGAGCTCTCTTCATAGTCTTCTTTCTCTACATCCAGTGCGCCTGTACTCTTCTTCCTCACTGTAAACAGTCCGCCATCCAGACCGTCTCGCTCCTCGTCGTCGCTCGCTTCACTTGCCTCGCTATCGTCCTCTTTCTTCAACGACGACAGAAAAGCATTCTTGATTGCTGCCTGCTCTTCTGCATACGTGTGCACACGTTCTGTCTCTTCTTCCTCCTCCTCCTCTTCGCTGCCACTAACGTCGCCAGCAATCACTTGCTGCCGCACCAGATCTTTATAGTGCAATGGACCAGAGCGGTCCTTCGTACTGCTGCGTCCAGCACCTCTCTCCTCGTTGCGGTCTGACTGCTGCTTGAAAAACGCAATCGACGAGTCGTAAATGACCGGATCCTTTCTCCGAATGAGCGCAAGCGTCTGGTCAATGTCGGCGTCCAACTGCTTCGTGAGCTCCTCCCCGTCTTCGTCTTCCGTCTCCGAGTCGGACTCGTCCTCGTCGCTACCAACATTAAGGCCGCGCTGCTCGAGCGCCGAGAGCTCCTCCTTGCGCTTGAGCTGCTCGTACGCCTGCGCGTACTTCTCGTTCACGTGCAGCGACATCTCTTCTGCTTCTGCTGCTCGCGTTGTCTCGTGCGGCGACGTCGTGGCCGGTGGCTCAGAGCTCTTGCGGGCACGACTTGACCCCATGACGTTGACTGGAGCTGTTGAGATGACTGGTGTGGGAGGGATACTCGACTAAGTGCGAACGCAAGCAACAAACGCGCCGACACGTTTTTGACACGCTGAAACGGGGTGTGAACCAGGCGATGGTTTGATGCTGTTCTAATTTTAGAACCGGCGGCTTGTTTGAAACGACGAGAGCAACAGGTGTGATGCAGAATAAAGTCGCTTTTCTTGGACAGCATCTGGAGATGAGAAGCAGCGAGTTGCGTCGAAACAGGTGGAGCGGAGCCAATACGTCAATGGGTTTGGCCCGGACCACTACGTTTATCGTGTACATTCATGAGCGAATGCATTTGGATTCGGTGTGAAAAAGCTCGTGCGTGTCATGTGTCGTGACGCGAAAAACGTGCTGATCCGTTCGATCGCTGACATGAGGTAGACAAACAAACATGACGTTACGATGCTGTCTGTATGTATCAGTGCGTTGGCGGGAGAAAGAGCCATTCGACTGGCTTTCGGCGGGCGGGTGATCTCACTCACAAATGTGCTTTCTTCGTCTTCGTCTGCTTGTTGTTCTGCTTGTTGTTGCCACGGACGTTGCTGCTTGATACTACTGCGATGAGCGGTCACGGTTCCAAGCGGATGCGAAAGCGACACTTCTTTGTCAGCTGCACGGCAGCTTCGTGTCCCATGTTCTTTCTTCCAGGTTTGCCACAAAAGGGCCCAAACAATGGGTACAGGCTGCCAGCTAACGGGGCAGCCAAAAAAGTGCTGCCTCACCGCGACCAACCAAGTCGATGGTCCCTCGGTATCAGGCCATAGAAAAGCGCTGTTCGAAAGCCTGCGCCCGTTTGAGCTCGTGGCCTGGTTTTTTTTCTGCTGCTTCCTCTTTTTTCTCAAGAGGGGACAAGGAGCGAGGGCAAGGGCAAAACCGCAGGAGTAGTAGTAGTAGTAGTAGTAGACGTCGTCATCGTCGCAGTCGTCGAGTGGGTCGTCCGTCAGTCACTGCGTTGAGGGACTCGGCCGCGTCTCCCGTAAACGTAAAAGTGCCTCTATTTGGACACCCCCCTCAGCCAGCCATCATTCGGCTAAAACCCGGCCGTTCGTCCACCCAGGGCCGCCGACGGCCGATTAAAACCCACCAACCACCAAAACCAATACCAACCAACGTACAGACTTTCGCAAAGAAGCTCCAGCGGGTACACAAGTCCTGCGACGACTTCTTCCTCTTCTACCACCAACTGCGTCTGCTGAGATGGCCATGATGCTGGACGACACGGCCGAGTCGAGCGAAGAGCGGGGCCGTGCGATCGTCCAGACACTGGCGGTCGTGGTCGAGTCCATGGTCCACGCGAGCGACCGCATGCCCTTGGGGTACTACCACAAGACAAAGTTTGAAGCGTTTCGCGCGCCCGGCATCTCGGTGCGGGACTACCTCCTGCGGATCCACAAGTACGCGAGCTGCAGTCCCGAGTGCTTCGTGCTGGCGCTCGTGTACGTCGATCGACTGCATCAGATGCAGGGCTTTGTGCTCACGGAGCTCAATGTGCACCGCGTGGTGATCACGAGCATCGTGCTGGCCGCCAAGTTCTTTGACGACCATTACTTTAACAATGCCTACTACGCCAAAGTCGGCGGGGTGCCGTGTCCCGAGATGAATGAGCTCGAGGTCGAGTACTTGCTCCTGATCAACTTTAGTCTCCACGTGAACAGCGAGACGTATGCGCGGTACTACAACGAACTCGCCAACCATTACATGTACACGCGCGTGCGCAGCTCGGCACTGCCCCACTCGCCGTACTATCAGCTGCGCCACTTTGTTGCACCCGACCCGCAACTGGAAGGACAGCTCGTGTACGTGACGGAGAGTTACCCGAAGGTGCACCCGCCACAGGACCATCGACGCAGCCACCCGGTGCCGCTGCATCAGCCCAATCAGCTGCGACACACGATCGGTGTCCAGAACACTCACCATCATCACCATCATCGCCGAACCGTTGAGGACAATGGGAATAATGCCACGGCGACGGCGGCAGCAGCAGCAGCAGGCAATGCGGCAACAGGGACTACCAGCAATGGCATTGTGCACACAAAATCAAGTCGGGCATCCGGCCAGAAACGAAGGAGTGCTGTCGCTCTGGGGGTCAACGCGTAACAGCGCTCTTGTCTCAGCTGCTGCGTGGTCATAGTAGAGACACATGCCGACGTGTTCAGGGGGTATACTAGCAACAGCAACAACACACAGAAGCACCATCAATTTTGACGCAAGGGGGGCGGACCGGACGAGCGCGAAGAAGATAGATACTCCACGTGGCTTGAACGAGAGAGGCCGAGAGAAGGAGAATTGAGTGCACAGTCGGTTGTTGCAGCAGAGGTCTTTCTGCACCGAGATGGGGCACTCCTAGGCCAAAGGTAGCTGGAGTGCCGCGCGAATTGACCGTAAGCTTTTGTGCAATGTGTCTCTGCTCTTCCCGCTCGTCTTCGTCCCCCGTCATGCACCTCTGGGTTAATATAGAGTCACTCACTGGCAGTAGCTCAGTCAGTCAGTCCATTCTTCGTCATTCGATGGTATTTGCTGCTAGATGTTGCCTCACACTTGCGTTCACGCGCGCTTCAACGTGCACACAGCCATGAGTCTCGATCACAAGGCACTCACTCGCCTGCGCACTCGTGTCTTTGGGACAGCGTTCGACGTCAGATGACAATTTGTGATCACTCGTACTCCGTTTATTATCTCTGATACCAACACTGCAGCATGGTGACACAACTTACCGCAACTGCTAGGACGACCTCCGGCAACGAAACGAACGTCGACGTGAGCGCATCGGGAGCTACTACGCGACAGCAGATCGCGGTTCTCATGAGCGCCACCGGACGCAGTCTTGCAGATATTTGCGCTCGTGTTCGCGAATCATGAACGGGTAGCCCCGACGCTCTAGCAGCTCAAGTCCTTCGACAGCAGCTGCTCCATCACGCTGAAGCTGTCGACACTATGATCCGCGGTGTCATGTACGTCGCCAATCCACTTGTCGTTGCAGGGGACCCGTCCAACCGCCACTACGGACCCCACGAGTGCAGGGAGCCCGCCACATGTGACGAGCCTACTGCCCTCTCGTCAGGAACTTCCTAGATTCTGGCAGTCGACGCAGCCAATCATTGGCGGATTGTTCGTCGGACTCGCCTAATCAAAACCAAGAAAAAGAGACAAGGCAAGACACGGTATCGTTAGTCTCACCAGCTCCTTTTTCCGTGCAAACGAAGACGACACACACCGTATCGAATGGCAACGGCAGCAGCATCGCCTTGCTGAAACACAACGCCCGCTCAATTGACTCCCTCGGACAGTTTTGTACACCATTCTCTCCAGTCTCTCCCTGCACACGAGTTTCGCACAGCATCTCGCCACGCTTTCCTCATCCACTTCACAGCGTCGACAATGTGCTGCATAGCCAATACCCGACACACGTCCGTGCGGATTACATACAGTGGACGATCGCAGGAGCTCTCGAACCAGAACGGATCGAGGCGAGACGACGGACCACGTTGTGGGGGTCGTACTCGGACTTACTCGAGATAGTACGGTACTGGTCTCCATCCGCTCAAGTACGATGCCAAACGACCAGTGGGAACGAGTTAGCGACAAGCGCGGCCTGACTCAAGCGGTCGTGCCCTGTGCAGCAGCTCTCGTGCCAACAGCAACGCGACGACAAGCGCATGCGTCTGCGACTTGTGCGTGTTGTCGCGAACCACATTTTCTCACTCGCTCGATCGCTCTCTGTCTCTCGCAGGTGCAACTGCTGTGTGGATGCACGTATCAGCCACACACTCTTTTTTGTATCGTCAAATCGACGCGACAGCGACCGCCTCGTTCGTTGTATGCAGAGCGAAAACGACTCTTTTCGGCCATAGTTTCGTCCAGTTTAGGTCCGTTTCGATCACTTTCGCCCACTTTCGTCCAGCCGATCGACAAACATTCTCGCTGTGCTCTCTCTGTTGCATTCTTACGCGTCGTGGCTTGGCGTAATTACAAGCGCTCGCTCGACCTGTGAAACTTAAAGCTGAACCGAAGCAGCTGCTCGGTGTAAACACTGCCTGATACGTCCCCAACGTGCGTCAGTGTCGCACAGCAGTGGCTCGCGCCTCCCCCCCCAATCCGCGCGCGGTCGTCGCCCCTGTCAAACTCAATACCACCGCCGTGCCCTCGTTAACTCGCTCGCTCGCGCTCCATCAATCACCTACGACAGGGTGCGGACGTGCCTTCCCCCCCAAACGCCCCTATTTCCGACCTCGCCAACACTCTCTTTTGCTGCGCTGTCTCTCCTCCCGTTTCGCCCCCTAATTCTTTCTTTCCAGCCATTAGCCAGTGCGCGCGCCTCTCCGCACAACTCGTCCGCTCGCTCTCCCCCGTACGTACCCTACCGCCCACGGCCACTCTGTCGTCGCTCGGGCCACGCGGCTCGGCCCGACACGACCGCTGACTCGACGCGTGCGCCCGCGTCTCGGCTCGCAGCCGATGCGCCCGTCGGACGCAGTGCCACGTGTGCTGTAGCCGCTCGTCGCTAACGCTTTTCTCTGTGTGTGTGTCTCTGCTTCCACAGCGCGTGACTGTGTGCTTTCCCCTTTCCGTGTCCCCGACCCGTCCAAGATGCTGCCGTACCGTCGTGACAGCGCACTGGAGCTCCGCGTGGGCAAAAAGTTCCGTCTGGGCCGCAAGATCGGCAGCGGTTCGTTTGGGGACATTTACTTGGGCACGAACATGACGTCGGGCGAGGAGGTGGGCATCAAGCTCGAGTCGGTCAAGAGCAAGCACCCGCAGCTGCTGTACGAGTCGAAGATCTACAAGATCCTCAACGGCGGCCGTACGTGTACCGTGTTGGGCGTGGTGCTGCGTGGTGATTGGCTGAAAGCGCAATGTGTGGTTTGGAGGTACCTGATGTTGACTATGGTGTATGTGTGTGCGGTGTGGCAGTCGGCGTCCCGACGCTGCGGTGGTTTGGCGTCGAAGGCGAGTACAACGTGATGGTGATTGACTTGCTGGGGCCGTCACTCGAAGACCTGTTTAACTACTGCGGGCGTCGCTTTCAGCTCAAGACGGTGCTTATGATTGCCGACCAGCTGCTCTGCCGCATTGAGTACTGCCACTCGAAAAACTTCATTCATCGAGACGTGAAGCCGGACAATTTCTTGATTGGTCTGGGCAAGCGCGCGCAGATTGTCCACATTATTGACTTTGGCCTGGCCAAGAAGTACCGTGACCCCCGAACGCATCAGCACATTCCGTACCGTGAGAACAAGAACCTCACGGGCACGGCTCGGTACGCGTCGATCAACACGCACGTCGGTATTGAGCAGAGTCGTCGTGACGACCTCGAGTCGTTGGGGTATGTGTACATGTACTTCATCCGCGGGAGTCTGCCGTGGCAGGGACTCAAGGCCAACACGAAAAAGCAGAAATACGAGAAGATCATGGAGAAGAAGATGAACACGCCGATTGAGGTGCTGTGCAAGGGCTACCCGGCCGAGTTCCGTGCTTACTTTGAGTACTGCCGCGCCTTGCGCTTTGACGACAAGCCCGACTACGCATACCTCAAGCGTTTGTTCAAGGAGCTGTTTTTCCGCAAGGGTTTCCAGTTCGACGCGATGTTTGACTGGACCGTTCTGAACTTGCGCAGCGGGCGTCGGGAGCGTGGCACCGGTGCTGAAGGCGAGCGCAGCGCTCGTGCGGACACGCACCAGGAAGCTCCTCGTGACGGCCGTCAGGTTGCTTCGCAGAACCGTGTGTACGTCTGTGACGAGGCGAAAGAGAACGATGGTCAGATGCAAGCACAGCAGTCCTATCGCTCGACCGGCCCGCGTGACGATCGACAAGCGGGTATGGATGCAGGCTATTCAGCCCCTCGCGTGGCCACTGGCGCCAGCCACGACGGTCTCGCTGAGGCCAAGCCGGCGAGTCGACAGCGCTACTGAGTCGACGATGTGGCCAGGAGCGTACTGTGCCGCTGCTGTCACGTGCTTGACAGTGGCAGTTATCTTTGCTCCACGATTGATGTGTTTTCCGTGACGTGAAACTGGTTGCGAAAGCGAGGACGCGATGCACGGAAGACTGCGAAACGAATGAGAGACGACGAATGAAAACGAACGAGAAACTGTTGGAGATTACGAAGGAGTGAGGAAGGAGAGGAGCGAGCGACGGATATTTCCAAACGAACGAACAAACAAACAAACAAACAAAACGATGACGAAACGAAGCGACCTTGCGGTCGTTCACGGAAATGGAAGACGAAGGAGTAGACGGCTGCGTCGATCGACCTGATGACTTTGTAGTTGTAGCGAGAGAAGGAGAAGAGAGAAGAAGCAAATGGATGAAATAGTGCAGTCGCCAAGCGTCCATTTCATTTGCGTGGTGGAAGTCAGGATGATATCTCGAATCTTTGATCGCTGCGAAGGACGTGACGAAGGCGCGATCGAGTCGTGAGCTCGCAAGATACGGCCCGAGTAGGCACCGCAGTCTCGGCACGCTGGACTTTGTTGCGCTCTCTATGTGCCGCTGCATTTGCGTCTCGTACTACATTTTACAATAAAAACATGCCTAAGATATCGACTACGGGATGCGCACGTGGCTGTTGCGAGCGTATCCAGCAACACAGGCAGATCTTCCGAGGTGGGCGTAGAAAGTCGTGCAAAACTGCGGTACTTGTCTCAGTTTGTTCGGAACTGTTCTTCCCGTCCGAGCCACTGCTGGTGGTGTATCACTTTCTGAAGGTGTAGATAGACCCGACAGCACGGCCAGTCAGGAACGTCCGCGTTGTCTCCGGTTGAAGCATCGCGCTGTATCTATGTGAAGTACACCACGCACGTCCCGTCGACAAAGACCGCACGTCTCTCGATGCCATCATCGCCTTATTGTAAGCTCAGCCGTCCGCTCGTATCGAAAGTTATTGCCTCGTGCCTTGTGATCGATCACGCATGTTCAGACGATACATGCAAACATGGAGCAATCACAGCGATTCCGCACGACACAATGTGCAGATGCAAGGGCAGTGTCTGCTCTGTAGCCAACCAGCTATTGCTGCCCGCGCTCAAGCACCTTCTTGTCGCGTCACGATTGCAGCAAATGTGCACAGGTCGAACACGTCAAGTCTGGCAATACATGCTGCGTTCAGTTTATACAGCCACGGGCAGCCACGCAACTTGTCGTCGTAGCCCATACGGACGTTGTCGTCTCGACGCCCCTTTCTACAGCCCCCTTCCAATGTCAACATAGTATCCTACACCAAGTCTACAGATCGTCCATATCGCTGCTCTCCTTTGGATGCGCAGGCGTATACGTCTCAATGCCCTTTCCAGCGCCCTGCATGGCTTCGTTCTGTGTGTACTGCTTCTGAGCAACGTCTTTCAATCTGCACCACCGCCACCACCACAACAACAACAGCCCAACTCAGCTCAGCTCTTTTCACCTCTACATCCATCCACCTTCGAGCGTCTGTCGTCTACCTCCGCTTGTGCACTTTGGTCTTGAGGTGCACGTCGCGTGTCTTGGCGTCGATAAAGTGACGGCCACATGGCGTACAGTAGAACTGGCCGAGACTGTCACAAGTCACAGCAAAAGGCACACAAACAACAGCACAGTCGATAGTTAGCAAAAACAAGCCGATTGATCCATTGACATCCGAGTCATCACGTACCCCGGCAGGTCCTCGTCTACCTCAAAGGCCATCTGTTTGCCTGAGACCTTCTCCACGCACAGGTCGTCCTGGATCTGATCGATGTCGCGTGCGCGGTTCTTTGTCGCATGGCCGCGTTTGTACTGCTTCTTCTTGGCGTGTGCGCGTGCCCTGCCAGCTCCTGATCGACCTGTACCCATTGCCTCGCTCTCGCTTGTTCTCGTATCGATACAATAATCCGATTACCAGCGAATAGGAACAATACAAAAGAGAAGACGATGAAGAGAAGCGATTGGATGGATGGACCGGGGCGCCAGGAGGTCGGATTCGCACACGTCGCATGTTTTTTTCTCAGACGACTCAGAACCGGAACGACTCGAGCGTCAACTCGGCACGAATGTGGTCTTTTAGCGACTGGAAAATGCACGGGAACGCCATCACGTCACGCGGATTGGTGTCTACCCAGAGCTTGTTGAATCGAGTGAAGACCGTGGCTGTCAACGCACACATAATTGTCAACAGGTCAGACACAGCGGCTGTTTCATCGACCGAGATGAGACCGACGCACCGTAGATGTCGTGGAGCTGCGTCAGACCAGCATGCAGGTCGTCGTCGCTCTCGGACGCAGCGAGACGGTACAGCTTCACGTCCAGCAAACGCTCGTCGATTAGCTCGATCAAGAAGGCCGTCACGTTGATGCCCGTCACAGCAAAGGGGTACCAGCGGGTCGGATGATTGGACTCGTCCAGTGCACTGCAAACACAGTCAATGCATGTCATACGTAACGTGTCAGCACAGCCTCAAGTGTCGCGTGCGCTTATAGTACCAGCCTCACCGCTGAGCTTCAATTTTGTAGTTTTTTGTGAAGTAGTTGAGCTGCACGAGTGAGAAGACGCCCATACCTCTGAAGTCCGACATCGGGTCGGTTCCTGCCATTCGCCAAAAACAAGCACGACGACATCACCGCGTACTCAGCAACGCTTTCCCTATAGCGCACGTCGTGATGGACAACAGGATCAACCGCACCTTGGAAGCCAATCTCTCCCCACTCTTTCGTAATGCGTCCGCCTTTGCGACGCACGTTCGGTTTCAAGTTGCTCCACAGCTGTTCCAGCATCTCTTCATGCACCTCGTTCGACGACGTGTAGCTTTCATTCTTTGCCGCACATACACGAGCGTACACCTTGTTGACATAATTGCAGCGCCGGAGACACGAGCGCACAATGGCCATCAAGCTAAAACGCACGTCAGTCAACCAGTCAGTCAACCAGTCCGACAAAAGCTTTCGTCAACAACACAAGCCATCGATTGACACCACATCTGAATTTCCAAACACTTTGTTGCCAGCAATTCCACGTACGTGACATCTTCCGCATCCAATTGCGCCCTTGTTGCAACGTCACGCAACGTCGCGTCCATCTGTGCGCAAGTACTCAGTCATACAAAAGCCCAGCGCCAAACAACACGACACAGCAGGACGAAAACCACGTACTGAGAATGGCTCCGTGGCAAACACTACATCGCACGTCTGCGCCATTGCGTCGGACAGAGCCAATTCGGTCCGAAAGCGCACAATGCGCTCGTCTTCGTCCACTTCCGTCGGTCGACACAGACGCTGCCACTCGTTCTGGCCATAAAAAACGCGCCCTGAAGACAATCACATGATAACAACATCACTCAGATCAGAAATAGCGATGATGAATCGAATGGATATAATAATAATAATGGTAAGAATAAGTATTTACTACTAAATTGTACAACAACGACAAGGATAATCATCATCATCGTCATCATCATCGTCATGGGCGAAGACAAAGAGTTTGTCCGCGTCCGAGTCGTCGGTATACACTCAGACATGAGCATTTTTACATCGTGCAGTCGGTCTATCTATACGCAGCAAGTGACAACGTACACACAGTAATCTTGATCCAGCGCCAGATACGCACGACAACCGTCTTGTTCGCTGCCGCTGCGTGACGTACGTGCGGCCCGGCCGACATGATGGTGTCCGGATACGCTGTCAGGATATGCGTATACACCAGCACCCTTCTCGTGGTGTGCTGTGACGAGATGTCAGGTGGGACACACTACATTAGTCGAAATGGGGTCGTCCACGAGGCTAAAAAAGAGGTTGCTATCGATCGGTCGAGAGCATAAAAAGGAGCAATGTGGGAGTGCAGCCATGTTGGTGTCGCAGGTAGAAAGTCGGACGGGTATCATTCATTGGTAGGAGGGATTCACAGAAAAGGGCACTCACTATTTGTTGGTATTTCCACCAATCACAATCGTTACTTTGTCCATTGCAAACCGTTGACGAGCTTACGGCACCGGCGGCCTCCCGACATGGAGGAAACTGCAGCTCTGCTCGCCTCTTCTGGTGCGGTCTCGTGTCTAATACATACAGATGCTCATCCTCATGTCTCTGTACCTGTCTGTGTCTCTTTGGTGCTCATACGATGGCATGCTCGTGCGTCCAACGTCTGTCTACAGTCTCCAAGCAGCGATTCGCAGGAGTCTCGAAGCTCTCGGATCAGCTTCGGGCACAGGGAGTGACACCTGCAACCGCTGCCGCTCTATTGACGCACGTACTGCCTTGTTTACGTGATCACAACTCGAAGATCGCTCTGGGTGCACTGGAAATTCTCGAGCGGCTGCTGCTGGCGCCAGTGGCGGAGAGCACGTTGCGCTCGACGTTCAAGTTGCTCTGGACGAGCGTTGTCGAGCGGCTGGGAGATAGCAAGCTACATGTTCGGCAGAAAGCAGTGGACGTTGTTGTTGCAGTGTCGGTGGTGCTGGATGTGTCGATAGTGCTGGAAAAGCTTCAGCTTTGTATGAAGCACAAGAACTGGCGCACGCGCGAGCAGGTACAGACGTTTTGGACTGGGTGAACGAATGCAGGAGAAGAGTGCTGTTGAGTGTAAATGGCGTTTGACAGCTGTTGCTCGGTGTTTGGCGATGCCATAGAGTCTGTATGCAATGTGGAAATGTTTGGAGAAGCATCATTTGTTCAAAGAAAAACAGGGCGAGCTGTTGGATGATGTAAGTGAAGATGACTTGAGTTAGAAGGAGCCAGGCGGCTGTACTATTCATATCGTTATTGTGTTTGTACACAGGTGCTACAATCACTCGAGGATTCGTCAAAGGACGTGCGCGACGCAGCAATGACTGCGCTGGAAAAGTTTTACACGTATATCGGTACCTCGCTATTGGTAAGAAGATGTACTGTCGTCAGGGTGGTTGACGTCGAATGACGTGGCTTTGTTTTCGCTTGCGATCGACGACATAGAATGATTTGCAAAACAAGAACCTTCGCGCGGGACAGATGAAGACGCTAGAGGAACGATTCAAGCAGATCCCTAAAAGTTCTGGCGTCACTGTACGTGCGCCATCGTCCTTCGGTACCGCTTCGGTACGTCGGAGGCGTATGCATGGCGGGCACAGTTGGCGTGGCTAACTGCTCAGGTGTTGCTCGCAGGTATACAATGGCGCTCTCGAGCCAGACAGCAACCTGTCTCATGCCCTGTCATCAAAATGGTCATCCTCCGATACGCAGGCTCCCTCATCGTCATCTGTGGCACGGTATTTGGAATCTGTACGACATCGCACGGTAAACGAGGCAAAAGCGGTCGCTCTTGTAGCAGATGGCGATCGGTCTCCGTCTCGTGAGTCCCCTGGACGAAGTCAGGTCGTGCAAGACTGCAGCTTGCGTGGAACGAGTAGTGACGATATCTCCGATAAGGATATTCAAAAACAGCTCGGCGTAGTATTCAGCAAGCTGCAACATGACAACGATTGGGACAAACGGTGGATGGGTTGAAGATGCTCCAAAAACTGGCGAACCGATGCGCCAAGCGCGGGGCTGCGATCACGTCTCTATCTCAAGGTCTCCGCCCGATTCGCGAGCGACTATGCCAGCAAGTTGGCGACCTCCGATCTTCTGTGTCCAAAGAAGCATGCGAGACCATCCAGATTCTTGCCAGAACTCTGACTGATGAGTCTAACGCTCACGCCGAAATTTGTCTCGGCAATTTGCTGAAAGTCACGTATATAACTATCCAAGTAGTTTCGACTGCAGCAGACACTACAATTCGAGCCATCATCGAGAGTACGAGTAACGGCTATACACGCGTGATCCCAAAGTAAGTGACGGCGCTTGCTAATGGTACCTATCATGCTTGCGCTACGGCTACTGACGGCTCTCCTGATTCCAG